AAACGTTTCGCCGGCATCGTATTCGGCATCATCAGTGCGCTTTGCCATTCTCCACACCAAGATACGAACTCGTCAAAGAGACAAGTGAAGTCAATCACTCAACAACCGTTCTGCTGGATAGTGTAACCGTTTCCAGCAGAACGGTTGTCAAGGGATTGACTTCACTTGTCTCTTTGACTAGTTCGTATCTTGGTGTGGAGAATGGCAAAGCGCACTGATGATGCCGAATACGATGCCGGCGAAACGTTTAAGAATGTATCAAGTCCACTGTCAGATGCTGGGAATCATGACAACTACATAGTCGCCCTGACAACAAGACCAAATTGCTACAACGAGGTCAACCCACCCACTTCTTAATACTGTTATTTATTCCTTACTGTTGTAGTTAAATATGCATATACATTTGTTGGCAAACCACTAATTAATATAGCATGCATTTTATTTTTATTAATTTGACTATTTTGCCTAAAGGAAAAGGTCTTTTTTGCAAGAAATCTGTTTACTAGACGTCTAAAGAAGACTGTATGAGACTGGTAGCCTCGGAAACCTACCTTCGTTTACGAAAACAGAGAAAACTATTACTGGGAATGGCTGTGAGCTAGGCACATCAGATCATCTGAAATAGCCAAAGCTAACAATAACTTGCTGAGGAAAAGGGTTTATAATATAAATAAAGAATTATCTTTGACTCTGCGCAGTTCTTATGATTGGGAAGAATATACATGAATCCAAAAGCATAGACTAAATATCGTCACAGGACTTTGGTCAATGGATGGGACGATATATGCTTGTGAAGCTATATTTGTGTGATGGAAAAGGAAATCCTTAAGCTGAAATACCTTACATCACCGAGGGAATCACAGCAGTCCTAGAATGGGATCAAGAGCAGTAAACACATTCTGACTCAGCTTATACTGACGGATATAATGTGATAGAATGGCAATGCAAAAGTGAGTTAGAGTTCCTTTCATTTCGTTTGGAAAGGCGAGTGGAAGGGATTCGGAAGTTGGTCTCCCCGAAAGCTGTAGTGGGATTGCATTGGAGCTGTGATTGTAGATTTGTGCGAATAGGTCCTCGGCGCTGAGCTTTCATCCAGTTTAGGCTGTTGCAAAATTTTTTCGTCATGCGATATGGCTTATGTGGGTGAGACCTGTGGCCCCATACAGAAAACGTCTGTGGGTACAAAATTCCGAATTGACTGAACAAGTGGCTCGTACAGGGCACCAGACAGATTATTTCAATGCCAAACGCTTAGCTGGACATAGGGACTATATGAACCAGCAAGCGAAAGCTTAGGGAGTTGGCGGCTGAACAGAAAATTGGTCACTTTTCACTTTTGATAAGTTGTAACTCTTTTGCTGATGATGGCACGTCTTATTGGCGATGCCGGCGAAACGTTGGGAATGTACCAAGTCAATGGACCAATGCTAGAAATCACGAATACTACGGCAGAAGACACGGGACTAGGTATGTTCCACAAGGTGGCCGTGACACTCCGAG